TCTTCGCGCTGGCAGTCCGCGTAAGGTATAGTAATACTATCCAGATATGGCCTCCTATTTTAAAGGTTAACTTGTGGTTCAGCCCACCCCAAACATATACCGTCTTCCCCTAGAGCGGTTCCATCCAGTATATGAAGGTTAGAAGCCTACCCATGAAGCTATACCTAACGGCCGTAGGCCATCGGATAAGCTGCACATGCCTATATCTTCGCAGTCCTATCAGACCGCAACCCCAAAGCCGCCGGCTCCCGGTGGTGGTCCTCCGAATGGACCTTTCGGCGCCAAGCTTCGAGGGCCAGGTGAGCGAGGACCTGGCGGGCGACGTGCTGGTTTGCGCTGCGAGAGAGAGCAGCCACCCTTTGCAATCTTCGCGCGGCACCGAGCACACGCGTCGCCAGGCTTTGACACCTGCGCTGCACCTTTCCTGGAGTACCGCCAGCACTCCAAGTTACCCTCCTGGCAGCGAAGGCATCGACGATCATCAAAGAGCTGCTCACCCAGCTCCGTCTCCATGATCCGGCCGATATGGCCGGCAGATCGCCTCCTATTATTAGGAAGGGCAGCGAACTCCTCCTCCGACACCGACCACCACTTCCCGTCTACGACGGGGCGGCGGAACGCAGTGTCCTTGCCTTGAGTCTGCCAGGCCCAAGCTAACCGGCCCTGGTCCGCACGCTGGGCGGCATCATACTGAGCCTCAGAGAGGCCAGCAGTCACCATATCAGGGGCAGGACGGGGCGGCGGCAGCAGTAGCTGCGGCATGGCAGCGGGGGGGAGGGGGCTTAAGACGTTAGTGCTGGATCTTGCATCTACATATGTTCTACTTACCATAGGCCAGTGCTCGCGGGCGAGCCCGCCGGCGAGCCCACCGGCGTGTGTGAGGGGGAGGGGGCCAGGCTATCATCATCAAGATCTATGGGGCGGAAGCCTCCATCATCACTAGATGACGGCGACGGAGGGCTTTCCCCTAGCAGCGACGGCAGCAGCACGGGCGGCGGCGGCGGTAGTGGTAGTGGTGGTGGTAGTGGTGGTGGTAGTGGTGGTGGTGG